AATAGAACGCAAGTCATGCAGCATAAATTATGGTGAATAAGGACCATAATACTAGTGGGCACAATCTAGTTATAGGTCATACAAATGCACAATCGCTTCCGGCACATTATCATGACATAAAGACCATCATTGTTAATAATAGGGCTGATATTTTTGGTATTAGCGAAACCTTCTTGAAGCATCACATCGGTGATCACCAGGTGCGGGTGGATGGTTACATGCTTCTGAGGAATGACAGATGCGGCAGAGGCGGTGGTGGGGTTGCCTTGTATGTGCGTCAGCCATCTAAATGCAGAGTGCTTTGTGTCTCGCAGCAGCATGCATCACGTAGTGTACATCCTGACATCCTGCTTGCCGAAATTTTGCTAAATTCTACTCGCATTTTGTGTGCGATTGTATATAGTCCGCCCAAAGCGGGACACTGGGAAGATGTGGAGGAGGCAATCCTGAATTGTAACACTGCATATGATCACCTGATTTTAATGGGTGACCTAAATATTGACTGGGCTGCAGACTCCACGAATCTAAGAATACTCCATCGATCACTGCTATCTCTTGGTCTCGAACGTATCCCTTTCGATTTTCATCAATCAGGTGCTTCCAGGACTATGATTGATTATATATGTACCAGCTGCTCGAATGATGTTGACGTTTATAGACAGCATAGTTTTCCCTGGATATCACGACATGACGTACTCTTTGTTGAATTTAGAGCACCTGCAACTTTTCCCAAGGATAACACACAACTGCTGCGATGTTTCCGGTATTTCAACGAGGAGTCTATGCTTGAGGATCTGGCTGGCGTTGATTGGAGGTTGGTTTTGGAATCGCCTTGCGTCGACACTAAGGTTGAGCGGTTTTCCTCGATTTTACTGTCGGTGCTGGATATGCACGCTCCTTACCGTGCTATTAGGACTAAAAGCAAGCCCAGCCCTTGGATGAATGAGTATATTCTAGGCCTTATCCGAGCATGCAATGCAGCCTGGTGCTCGTTCAGGAGAAGTCATGACCAGGCTATGGGTGATGAGTACAAACGTCTGCGCAACTTGATTAAACTGACAATTCGTAATGCCAAGCATAACTACTACCGCAACAAACTGCAGGAATACCGCAGCACATCAGAGACATGGCGGTTAATTGACAAGTTGGGACTGACTCGTGGCGCGAGGACATGTCAGCAGCTTCCAGTGTCACCAACTAGCATGAACAAGCACTTTGTTGGTACGAATGATCCTACTCCACTGCATAGCCGGCGGCCGACTGCGCGCATCTCGCCTGATAACAGGTTCTATTTTAGGCCTGTGGACTTTGGAGATCTGATTGAGGTTCTTGCTTCCTCTCATTCAAATGCTGCGGGTCCTGATGGCTTGTCTCTAAAAATTATTAAGCTAAGCATGCCTTTAATATTTCCTGTTCTTTTAGATATTTTCAATGCCTCATTGCAGACTGGTTATTTCCCTTCAGCATGGAGGAGGGCAATAGTAATCCCAATACCCAAACGGCAGCCAGCGTTGACGCCTCATGCATTTCGTCCCATCAGTATCTTGAGTGCATCCTGCAAACTCCTTGAGGCGTTGGCATACAAACAAATTCTTTCTTTTGTTGAGGATAATTCCCTGCTCCATCCACTTCAGTCAGGATTCCGCAAAAGGACACTTTTTTTCACATTATTTGCTAATGAGCTTCCCGACATCTGTTCTAACGTCAGTACGCACCAATATGCTGACGATTTTTTCATATACGCATCGGGCAGTGTCGAGGAGGTTGGGATGATTGCGGACAGAGTCGGTGCTGTGCTGGATGCGGTCTCTTCCTGGGCAACGGTTAATGGTCTGGTAATTAATTGCAGTAAGACCAAGGCGGTGTGGTTTGCCTCCAGAGCTTACTTGCGCGAGATTCGGGCTTCAGTTGATCCACCTACTCTAATTATGGGCAATGTTCCGCTAGAGTTTTCATCAGAGATTACTGTGCTTGGTGTTGTCCTGGACAGTGAACTTACACTCAGAGCTCATTGCACTGCGGTTTCCAGGAAGTGCTTTGGCACTTTATCGCGTCTTCGAAGATGCAGAGATTGTTTGCCGGTGGATACTCGGCTACTGCTTGTCAAGCTGCTAGTTTTTCTTCATCTGGAGTACTGCGCGTCTCTTTTCTTGGGCATCTCTGGTGAAATGATACGCAAGCTTGAACGATGCAAAAACGCTGCACTGCGCTTTGTAGATGGTACGCCCAAGTGGCATCANAACACTGGCAATAAGCGCTGGGTCATTAAGTTTTGCTGCCCAAGTTAATAATTTATTTAAAAAACCAACAACACTGGCAATAAGCGCTGGGTCATTAAGTTTTGCTGCCCAAGTTAATAATTTATTTAAAAAACCAACAACACTGGCAATAAGCGCTGGGACATTAAGTTTTGCTGCCCAAGTTGATAATTTATTTAAAAACCAAGTGCTGGCAGTAAGCGCGCTGGATCATTGAGTTACGCTGCTCGAGTTATTATTTATTTAAATAAAGTATATAGCACTATAGCGACAAACTCAGAAATACCGTCTCGATCATCGAACTGTTTGTAATTCACTCGGAAATCAGTCTAATGTTGGTTATTCGTTTCTCTCGTATTCGTACTTGTAGTAATCATCCCAAGTATATTGAGCTTAATTTTTTTTTCTTTTCTAAATTTTCGCACTCAGAATTTTTTCTTTAGCCGTTCAACTTTTTCGCTCAAATTTTGTGTAATGTATAGATAGAAACAAATGAACAAGCATAAACAAATATACGATTAATTAATGGAAGCACGCGCGCACGTGCATGTGTGTGTACACATACATGTGTATGTGTATGTGTCACGTCTCAAAGGTCGAAGGTTATGTAGTATAGCTCTATACGTATTCCATCATCAAGGCCTGGCTATGTCCTTTCGATAAACTCATTACAATACTGGCTGAAGCCTGCCCAGGCTGGCTGGCCAGGGCCTGGTGTTCAGCTACGGCCGTCTAGCGGTCATTTCTTGACGGGATGGCACGATCTGCGGTTAAACCCAGCTCGGCTCAGCTTGGCTCTCTGTCTTTTTCTCCACACGCTCACTACCGCTTCTCTCTCGTTTGTAAAGTGTACTACCCGTATTACGATTGCTAAATAGAAAAGTATACAAAAATTAAATATGAATTGTATACATATCGCATATACATACGCACATATGTGTGTGTGTGTGCGCGTGCGCCCGCGTGTATGTGTGTGTGTGTGTAAATAAAATTTTCAATTATACTGACTTCGAGAATCGAACTACATGTTTAGAATTGGTAGTCGAGGACCTTATCGATTGTGCTATGCAACACGCCAATCCAATCTTTATTCTTATTATTTATAAACACCAACTGAGAAACTTTATACTATATATTATGTATAATTGAGCCCGCCGATTTCAAAAGAAATAGTTATGATTATTTTTGAGTGGTCTATTAATGTCAAAATTATATAAAATTGTGTTTTGAAGTTCGTTTTGATATATAGAAAAAATAAAAGTACCAGCGTGTAGAACGAAAACTTTCCATCAATGAGAACTTTTAATTTTATTTCGACAAGCGCAAAACAATGAGAAAAAAAATGAAAAAGGCATTTTAGCAGTACCTGTAGAAGTAAGTGAGATAGAGCTATTGATCGTCTGCTTTCGCTCTCTCTCTCTCTCTCTCTCTCTCTCTCTCTCTCTCTCTCTCTCTCTCTCTCTCTTCCGGTGAGTACAGTAACAGTCTGTTTTGATAGTGCTTCTTCACTGTAGATCTGTCTCCTGCTGTCTGTTGCCTACGGGCACTTTGATTTCAGTCAAACTGCACGCTATATTATGCAAGTTTGTTGTGTGACTGTTATCTTAGGAGTCTATACACAGCCTGCAAGGTGTCATCGGCTTTGCTCCGTGTTGCTTTTTTGAGAGGCTACGAGGACAGGGCTGACATATTTCTTCTATCTTTGTTGGATCACTCAACTGCGCAAGCGTAGAATATCTGGATGGGCTATTGCGCCATAGTTTTAGCGCGCCGATTCCCACAGCTGTTGATATAAGTGAGGATAAGGGAGACAGAAGAGAGGAGGAGAGGGATAGCAATGCTTCGAGTGCAGACAATATGGATGACGACGATGACGCCACGCTGTCTGCTTCTAAGGTTCGTCTGCTGCTCAAACGTACCAAACATGATGTTGATATTTTGTTACAGCGATTGGATAATGAAAGAGAAAAGTCAGTCAAGTCAGCACTACGAACTGCTATAAACTCTCTTAATTCTGCGTTGATCAGTATATCTTCTGCATATTTGGCTAAACTTGCAGTTGAAGAGGAACGTCACAATAGCGAACTTCAATTGCAACAGATAATTGACAGATTACCTTTGACTGTCGCAGAAAATCGGACATGGCCAGCTACAGGAAAAACTAAAACATTTGCTGATGTTGTGGGACAAGGCGCACATAGTAATGTAGTACTTGGCAATGGTAAATTGATCTTAATAAGAAATGAGACTCGAGTAAGGATAGGTCCTCTTAATGAACATGCTAAAGTATACAAAACAGCCTTAAACACTAAAAATGCGTTAAAATCTATCTCTGCAGCTGATTTGGGCCTGAAAGTTGGGCGAGTTACATTGATCTCTAACAAATCAGTAGTTGTTGAGGAAGAGGCGCTACAAAATTTGATAAAATACCCTAATTTAGTAAAATTGGGACATTAAGTTAAACCCACGCAAAAGTTACAGCCACGAATCATCATAGATGGTATACCTGTTGAGTACACTAAAGATGAAATTCACAGTAGCCTTATAGCACAAAATTTTCGTGAATGTAAACAAGAGGAAATAAAAATACTATTTCTATACCCAGCACGTAACAGAAAACACAGATCGTGTGTGATCGAATTACCGCCTGAATTTCGTAAAAAATTATTTCTTTAAGATAGAGTAAGCCTCAGTTGGGTCCAATGCAAATTTAATGATCATGTATCTTTAGTGCAGTGCTATAGATGTCAAAAGCTGGGTCATATAGCTACAAATTGCAATGATGAGGTGATTTGTGGTTGTTGTGCTGGCTCACATAGTACTAAGGGTTGCACATCTAAATCATCTGAATGTTGTATTTTTTGCAAAAATAATAAGCTCCACAACACAAAGCATTGTGCATTTGACAAGATTAAGTGTCCTACACTTTGTGCTGGTATAGAACGCAAATTCCATACTATAAACTATGGCGAATAACACCACAAATGTGAACACTAGCAGATTTTTTATAGGACACGTAAATGCACAATTTACATCATTTCATTTATATGACATTGAAGGACTTATCAAGGACTACAACATGGCTGTGTTTGGTATTAGTGAAACATTTCTCAAGCCTAGTACACCAAGCAATTTGCTTCGTATACCAGGATATCGTCTAATTAGACATGATCGTATTACCAAGGGTGCTGGAAGTGTGGCTGTTTATGTTCACGATTCACTCAAATGCAGAATAATTAAGGTATCTGACGCCCCACCTGTATATGTTGAACGTTCGGAATTCCTAATTGCGGAAATCAAAAGCAAGTATTTCACTGTGCTCTGTGTCGTAGTGTATAGCCCGCCTAAATCTGGATTCTGGGCTGATGTTGAGACCGTAGTAATGGATAGTGCTTGCGCGTATGATCAGCTAGTGATAATGGAAGATTTTAACATTGAGTGGAATGTCAATTCTACTAATAAAAATATTCTCAAGTGTTCTCTAAGTTCCATAGGCCTGGAGAGGTTGCCTTTTGATCACACTCATCATGATGCGGAGTTGGATTCTACAATTTATTACATCTGCTTAAATGAAGTTCACTATGTAAAAACTTGTAAGCAACTCAGACAGCCATGGATCTCTGCACATGATTTTATCATGGTTGAAATGGATATTCCAGCATCTAGAGTACCTCCAAGGGTTAAGAAATATCGGTCCTATACATGCATTGATGAAGATAAAGTGCTTAATGATTTGAGTGAGGTTAATTGGAGTTTTTGCAAAATGTAAATCTTGAGAACAAAGTTAGTCTTCTTACACAAGAATTAACCAGAATACTTGATCACCATGCGCCCTTTCGAACAGCAACCATCAAGAGTGGGCCCACACCTTGGCTTTCATCTGACATCAGGGAGTTGATCAGGAGGCGTAATCAGGTATGGCGAGATTATTGACGTTATAGGACTGATGAGTTTACACTGCCTACAAACAACTGCGCAATGAAGTCAAATTGAATGTAAAGAATGCTATGCAGGCATATTATAGACGTATTTTTACTGAATGCAAAACAACTGCACAAACTTGGAACACCATCAGGTCATTGGGAACTGCAAGAGTCTCGATCACTACCATTGCCCCAAGGACCAAGAACCTCACCAGACCATCGCTTTTACTTTGGTCATGCTGAATTACCGGATATATTGTAGGCCTTCAGCACTGTACACTCTAATGCAACCGGAACTAATGGACTAAACTTAAGATTTCTCAAAATATGCCTGCTGGTTATTTTCCCAATTTTGATTGATATATTTAACTCATCACTCCAGTCTTGCGTTTTTCCAGACGCATGGAAGCGAACACTGGTCCTGCCAATGCCCAAAAAGATTAATCCTACTCTGGCAGACAACTTCAGGCCAATCAGCACATTGTGTACTTTGGGCAAGATTTTGAAGGCAATTGCATTGAAGCAAATAATGAGTTATCTCAATGAGCATAATATACTCGATTGTTTTCAGTCTGGTTTCCGAAGACAGCATAGCTGCTACACTGCTCTGATCCGAATAGTCGATGACATTAGGGAGGCTATGGACGGGAACTGTGTTACACTGATGATAAGCCTTGATTAGTCACGAGCCTTTAATGTGGTCAATATTAACTTACATGTCGCCAAACTTTTGACCATTCGCTTCTCTGATGTTACGGCATCGTGGATCGGATCTTACTTGACTGAGAGATCGCAGATTGTTCGTGCACCCACTGGTGAACTTTCTCAGACACTCTTTCGTGGCTCGGGTGTGCCTCAGGGAAGTTTACTTGGGCTATTGATTTTCTCAATTTTTTTCAATGATATTTCAGTAAATTGTTAAGATTGTAAATATCATATTTATGCTGATGACTTTTGTTTTTATATACAAAGTAAGGCCCAAGAGGCCAGAAATATTATACAGAAGGCAAATACCATTCTAGAAGATGTCTCAATGTAGTTAGATGTAAATGGCCTTCTTGCTAATGATAAAAAAAACAAAAGTAACTTGGTTTGGCTCTAGAGGTATAAATGGTCGTCTATAATTAAATTACTCATTGCCTGATATATTATTTAATGGAGTAATTATTGAACCCACTGAAAAAGTTAAGCTGCTGGGAGTCATGCTCGATAGTACATTGACATGGAGTAGCACTAGACATCTCTTGGTACGTACACTTATATTTCCACACTTGGATTACTGCGCGTCTCTCTTTTACGGCTTATCATCGGAAATGGAGCTTAAGATGACTCGTTGCTTGAATGCTGCCCTTTGCCTCATTGATGATATTACGAAATTTGAGCATATCACACCAGCTTATAAAAAGTATGGTATTATGTCATATTCTAACAGAAGAAGATACGTTATGCTGTGCCTTCTGCAGGGAATCCTTACATCACAAAGGCCTGCATATATTGCTGAACTGTTTACTTTCAAATCTACCTCACCAAATGCAATCAACCTCAGAAATTCAAATACTGCAGAGTTACTATAGTGACGCGTGTTAGTCTCGATGCTTATGAACATTCGTTTACCATTGGAGCTGCTATTAAATGGAATACATTGTCTGCTAACCTACGATCCATGCAAACTCCAGCATTGTTTAAAAGCAAATCATTTAAATACATCATTAGTGAAGATTTTAGACTCAAGTTATAAAATTACATATTATTTTATATGTTATTACATGTGCAAATTAGCTGGCCTATATTTGAAANTATATGAGCCTGCAGATTTCAAAAGATACAGTAACGATCATTCTTGAGTGGTCTAATAATATCAAAATTGTGTAAGATTGTGTTTTAAAGTTCGTTTTGCTTATATCTTTTAACAGTTTGATATACAGAAAAAATAAATATACCAGCGTGTTGCGCGAAAAATTTTTTATTAATGAGCACTTCTAATTTTTTTTCGACTAGCGCAAAATGTTAAAAAAAAAAAAAAATGAAAAAGGCATTTTGGCAGTACCTGTAAAAGTACCTTTTAAAGTTAGATGAGTCGAATTAGTCAATATTGACTAATTATAAGTGAAAAGTCGTTTACTTATTGTGATAACTCGCTCCCATTTTCTCAGAGGAAATCCTCCTGAGCGGAGTAGGCTGATCACCTGATCTCGTCGCCTCCGAGCAGTCTCTACGTCGTTGGCGCCGGAAAGAATGTCGTCGGCATACCTCTCGGACATGACAACAGAAACTGCTTCAGGCCAAGCGTGACCTTCGTCTTTGCACAGCCGCTGGATAGCACCTAGGGATAAATATGGGGCGCAGCTCTCGCCATTTGTAACGGCAAGCAGTTGAAAATGTCCAGGTGAGCTGTTTTCGTCGGTGCTCCAGACTATCCTTTGAAGGTCGACGTCGCGTTCGTCGACCCAAATTTGGCGGAACATCATACGGACGTCAGTACAGAAAGCAACTCGGTACCTCCTCCTACGTAGTAAAACGCTGGGTAGTGCCTGGAGCTTGGGACCAGCATGCAGCGCATCGTTGAGACTGTAGCCCGTGGATGTGAGCCGTGATGCGTTAAATACAACGCGCAACCTCTTTCTTTAATCGCCGGCCTGCCAAATTTCATGATGTGGGATGTAGTGGGTGGGCCCTGTAGATTCTCACAGTTCAGAGTCTGACAGAAGACGCATATGTCCGCAACTCACGTATTTATCCATGAAGCAAGAGTGTTTGGTGGCCATTTCGGGTACGCGTCGCAGGCGGCGCTGTAATGACCGCAGAGACGATAGCGCGCTTTGATAGCTGTCGCCGAGAAGCCGGAGTCCGTCACGCCTCAATGGAAGGCGGACAACATACCGACCGTCCGCGGCTCGGTGGTGATCGGCGAACATCGCCTCGCACTCGTCTCTGGGCGATTTGCGGGTGGACTGCGGCACATCCTCCAATTTCCAGAAGCGCTGCATCAAGAAGACCAACTAATCCTGCCAGGGTAGTGCTGTATCTTCCTGTGCAGTCAAGCACAAAGACGCCGGAGTGGGTGGGGTGGAGCAAAAGACGTGGCCCGTGAGGGCCCAGCCAGCGACGGTGCGTTGCCCAATGAGATCACCGTGACGAACTAGTTCTGGTAGCAGTAGACGTGGATAAATGTCCGCACCCAAGAGGATATCGACGTTGCCTGGAGTGTCAAACGTAGGGCCTGCCAGATCGCACGGCGAAAGCCAGTCCTCCACAATAGCTGGAGTGACGGGGGCCGAGGGGGTGTGGAGACCCAGCCGTGTCAGGAAGTGCACGGTGAGCTCTATTGGGGTGATAAGTGTTGCGGGTCTGAGCCACAACCTCGTAAACTAAAAATATGCAGCGCGCTCACCCCCGACGGTGGAGATGTTAGTGTTGGTTGGCTTGAGATGGGCGCCGAGCTTGCGGGTCAAGGTTGTAGAGGTGATTGTTATTTTGGAACATGCACCGAGGAGACCTCTCGCAGTGATGCCATGGCCCCGAGGGCCCTCGAGGCAGACTCGGATAGTGGGCAGAACGAGGCACTATTCGCGTGATCGGAGGTAGTGCCCGCAAGTGTCAGCTTCGGTGGCGGTCCAGCAGAAGTCTCGGTGCCCCGCTTGCGACTGTTCTCATGGATCAAACTACGATGCATTGCCTTGCAGTGCTTACACACGGATTGAGAAGGACAGGAATGTGCCACATGCCTAGTGTGGAGGCAGTTGAAGCACAACCTCGACCGAGTGACGAGCTGTCTTCGTGCGCGCACAACCATTTTTAAAAAACGACTGCAGTGGCCAATATAATGAGAAACTTAACAAGCTGCACATTCGGTGTCGACATCATTGGCTTGTGTAGCAAGGGATCCGTAATTGAGACTCGCTGATGTTGGAGCTGGTGGGCGGTTGCTTGTTAAGCGTTCTGTGCTGAGGGATTCTACGGAGGTGAGCGAACGATCACGGCGCTGCAGAAAGCTTGACAGAGTAGCGAACGTGGCTACAGTTTCGCTCTCTGATGCGCCTCCAGCCTCAAGTCTTTCCAGTTCATCCTCCCAGGCTCTTCTGGTCAAGGAGTCCATGCCAGTGGCAGCGAATGAAATCATCCATATATCCCATTCGTATACACGCTGCTCAAGCGCTCGTAGTTGATCTTGGTGTTTAGCTAGAGTATCCAAAAGTTTCTGTACACTCGCCGCGGACTCCTCACGAAGTGGCTTGATGTTCTGGATGGCCATGATATGGTCCTGAACCAACAGCCGAGTGTGCTCGAATCTGGATCCCATCAGTGCCCAAGCAATAGAGTAATTATCGCCGGTGAGTTGCAGCGTGTCCACAACTGCCTTAGCCTCGCCTTGTATGTGCGATTTTAAGTAATACAGCTTCTGGACGTCAGTAAGACTCGAATCGTCGTGTACGAGAGCAAAGTAAAGATCTTGAAAGGACTCCCAGTCCTCTCGATTACCAGAGAAGACAGAAAGGCTGATATTCAGCAGGTGCGGGCCATGATGCATTCCAGAACGATAGGAGTGGCCGGTATCGCTTGCGTCGGAAGGAGCCAGGCGGTTCCTGACGTCGTACAAACGTGACCTCGCAACTAGGTAATGGCCTTTACCAACCGCATAGAGCTTCTCTGGCGAATCATCTGACTCAGGCTCAGAGGTGCCCCAATCAAGAGTCGGTAGTTGTTTGAGAAGTCACCCTAATAATTATTGAGTAGCTTAAGTCGCGCTTCGATCAAGCCCTTGCTCCACTGCGTGATACCCAAAACAGTGCCTGCGAAACGGGCCAGGGTATCGCCGAGCGTGCGCTGAGTCTTCAGCAGGACTGACAGGCCTTCTTCCTGCCTGCAATTAAAACATTATGAGCTCGACGCCTGTCTTTTAAGCAGAGCTCTACTGGCTCTGCTGCAGCTCGCTGCAAGAAACGCTACGTGAACCCAGGTTGTGGAGACAATTGACATGGCAGTGAGAAGGAAATAAGAGTGAAGCTCCGCCCGTTACATCGACTCTCGTGGTACCAAAGCGGCCGTCGACTCGAGGGGCACCGTCCGGGGCTTGGGTCCTGCGGGGACAATGGCACTCGCTCACTAGTCAGGTCGCTATTCAAACGAGGCGATGCTGGCGGTGGCTCAGCAGACTTGACAGTAACGCTGACTGGACGACAGTGCAGGCAAGCCCGTGCCTTGCAGAATTAGTCATCAGTTGAGTTCTCTAGTTCGGCTAAGTATACCGCATGGCGAGGCGAGCAACCTAGTTGCTGCAACGCTAGCCTCATATTACTGAGGTATGAGCAAGCGCGTTTACTCTTCAGTGCCGATCTCAGGACGGCCCGCGACAACCCAGGGGGCGCCTACCACGTGGACTACGGGGACAGCCTAGCTGGTTGCCCTAACCTCGAGCTGAGCTGCTCAGATGCGATCGTGCGCGTGACCTGCGACGCGTGCAGCGTAACTGCCGCGGCGGAGCTTTACTCGGCCCAGTCAACGACTCACGTAACCTTGACGCACTACTGCTGCATCGCGTGCAGCAGAGATCAAGCAATTTCAATACGTGTTCGAACGCAAAACCCTTCCTTCTCCTTATACTTACATTATGAGTCGTAATGGGATCCCACCAACTGTCCTCTACTCGGCAATGTCCTCGCAGCAGGTTTTCCCGTAAAGGCCGATCCGGCTCGAAGGACCAATTGTTTTATTGAGAGCTTGATTTGGATACGCAGTGAATCTGTTACGGTTACACAAGTGGTTACGATGGTAAGTTTCCTGCGCGTTGATAGTGAGAAAAAAACCCACATGCACTCTTGATGGACGCAGACAGACAGACCATACAAATTTTGGTTTTGGGGACGCTCGAGCGTCCCCGAAGAACGGCACGGTGGTAGATATTCTCAAGTGAGCACGGCTCGGCTCGAGTTAGGCTGGAAGGTCTGACAGGCGCAGAGAGCCCGGTGGTGGTGCGCAGTTCAATTTCGCTAAATATTAATATTTGACCATAATGCAAAATTTTCTCGGGTTCTTCCAATTGTGTTTATTCAAATTCCATCTTAACCCGTCTTTAGTAAAGAGCCAACCCAACGAAATTCGCGCACGTGCGCAACTATGCACAGTAAAGAGGTATCCGAATCTGAAAAGAGAAGGAGAGACAGAGAAAGTAATACACACGAACGTTTGTTGACTTAATGTATGTTCCTTTGTGTAGGTAGGTAGTATAGATACTCTTCGCCGTGTATCATTGTTTTTTTTCATTCTCGTTATTTATATGTTAATAAACAAAAATAATATAAACATAATTTGCTTTTTTCTAATCTATAATATTCACTGATCATAATACATACTTATAAATAAACTGTCTTTTTAACATAAAAATATATATTGAAGATTATTTACAATAAAAAAATTAATAAATACTTTTCCTACCTTGCACCTTTTTGAGAGGCTGGTGTGTGCTCGGTAGAAAAAATAGGATTCACCACAAGCGCTATTGCTCCGTGGCTGCCTTGTGGCCCTTGGGCCCTGTCTCGCAGGTCCCTCGGGCCGTAAAATAGCCCTGGAGATGATGGCACTCATCTGATAAAAACTATTATTTTCATCATGTACAATCAAATACTACCGAGCTCAATAACATTTTCTCTAATGTTTCACATCTGTCGTGGATCCCGCGACTCACGCCTGGTTTTTATTTTATTTTCACTTTTATATATACATCTTTCCTTATACCACTGTATTTTATTTTTATTCTTTATTATTATTTTTTTAAATATTATTATATGTGTGACCTTATCGCTCACTGTTGTTGCCATCTACGTATTTAGGCCTACATTATAAGTTCCCTATTAGCATTTATCAATGTGTGTACGTTATCTTTATGTAAGCTATGTAGGCTGTACAGGACTATTGAGTCCTTAGTCTTTAAATAAAATTTAATCTAATCTTAATCTAATCCAATCTGTTTGACTTGGGTCAGTTGACGGGGATCGCAGAGTCCAAGTATTTGGACCCAGAGTAGCTTGACTCTTGCTCTTGGAGTCTCTGCATATGGAGAGCATGCTGGAGAGGCGTACGCTGCTGGCTAAAAAATATTTATTCTTCGAGTTATTCCCCGGATTACAAACAGCTCACTGGTAATCGGGGAAGTTGTCCTAGATAATACGTCCCCCATGTATATGCCGTGGGAACAAACCACTAAGAAAGAGGCTGATGTAATTTTTAGCCAACGTGGCCCCCCGAATTTCTCAGGGTTATTTTCCCTTTCTTTTAGTTGTAGAAAAACGTGCTCTGGCTGCACCTGGTTATATGGTTTAACGGTTATGAAATCCGAAAATGTTAAAGCAGGTTGTGCTTTGGCCGAACGTCTCTTGGTATTACACTAGGGGCGTTGACGTTCAGAACGCCTTTTTTTCGTGGCACTTGGTAATCTTAGTAATTCAGAGTGTTATTCGACGTAAGTTAATTGTCCATTTTAGAATAGTGTCGTCGATTTTCAAGATACACAGCTTTACGACTATCAACTCTAAATAGGGCAGCCTGCCCGCTGTTGTTGAGATTGATCGATCATAAAATTTCTTCGACAAACTATGTCACGTAATTCCAATTTACTAAAAGTGGCACATTGTAACGCGCAATCTATTGAACTGCATTTTCAGGAAATTAGATCAATCATTCTTAACAATGGTTTGCATGTTCTTGCTGTCAGTGAATCGTAGTTAAAGCTGACTAAGCATTTGGGCCAATTTGATATTCCGGGTTATACCCTCGTTCGTCATGATAGGCTCTGTAAAGGCGGTGGTGTCGCAGCTTTTATACATGATTCTATCAAATTTTGTGATGTTTCTCGTTCGGCTCGTGCTGATGCCTACTCTTTCCGACCTGAGTTTCTGTTGCTCTAATTATCTGCAACTCAAGTTTCTCTGCACTAGTGTTTATAACTCACTTAAGTTTGGCTATTGGTCGGACGTTGAGGACGTGATCATGAATTGTTTGACTGCTTCCGATTGCTCATTGCTTTTGGATGATCTTAATGTTGATTGAACAGTCAACACTACTCCTTGCAGAATACTTCGTGAGTCGTTTGCAATTTTGGGCCTCTCGGCTACGGTATTTGATCCAACATATCACACTACCACCTCGGATAGTACTATAGATTACATCTGCATTAGTGACCCAAGCTTGGTTGAGATGAGTGTACAGTTCAGTGCTCCTGGTATTTCGAGGCATGATGTTGTTTTATTATAAACCCGTTGTCCTCTTCCGGTGTTTAAATCTCAGCTCATTGTATCCCGCTCGTTCAGGGGCCTTGTTCTGGACGATTTTAAGCGTGACCTTGTATCAGTTGACTGGTAGTCTTTTTCTCGAATGTGTCATGTGGACGAGAAAGTTGAGTTTTTTACGACTGCCTTTACAAGCCTCTTCAGCATCCATGCTCCTTTTCGTACGTTCATTCCTCGGCGCCGCCCTTGCCCATGGATGATGGATGAGATTCATTCTCTCATTCGTAATCGCAATAGGAAGTGGAGGTTGTATAAGAGAACCAGGCGTGATATACATGGGGTGGCTTTTCGCCGTCTGCGTAACAGGGTGCAGGTACTGTCAAAAAATGCGCTTTACGCTTATAATAGAGATAGACTTATGTCCTATAGGCGTTCTGCGGACATGTGGAGATGTCTTTGCGATATTGGAGCATCATCGAGTGCGAGTGCATCACCTGCCGTCGCGTTCGATGGGGACGCTCTTAATCGACACTTTGTGGGTACTCCGTTGGTGACTGATGCCTTTGCTGGTTGGTCATGTGATGTGCCATTTGAAGATCGATTTTTTTTCGACCATATTACTGAGTTGAGTTTGCTTAAGGCATTTAGTGGATCAAAGACCAATGCCTGTGGAGTAGATGGGATCATGTTGCAGATGTTGAAGCTCGCCATGCCTTTCATCACGCCCATCCTGCTAAACATAGTTGATTGTTCTCTTTAGTCGGGTATATTCCCGACTGTTTAGAAAAGAGCACTGCTGACACCTCTACCTAAAGTGAAGCAACCCTCTGAGTTAAATCATTTTCGGCCCATTAGCGTGACATGCGCGCCGTTGAAGCTTCTTGAGGCGGCGGCACTCAGGCAGATGTCGACTTTCGTAAAGTCTAACAAGTTGCTGTGCCCCCAGCAGTCGGGTTTCCGTAAGCACCACAGTATTCATACTGCATTGATCAATCTTGTTGATGAGATTAGACGTTTGGCGTGCTTTCGATGAGCTCAATATTGATGTGCTTTTAGTAAAGCTCCTTTCTCTTGGTTTTTCCGATTCTGCTTGCGGCTGGATCAAGTCTTTTCTTTCTGGGCGATCACAGGCGGTTAAGATGAGGGGTGGTTTGACCTCTGGTTGGCTTGATCGTTGTCCGGGTGTTCCTCAGGGCACCCTATGTGAACCGCTATTATTTTCATTATATATTAATAATTTGCCCTCAGCTTTTACATCTTGCACGTGCCATCTTTACTCTGACGATTTCGTTCTAAAATTCTCTGG